CCAAGCCCCATCCTCTCTCCACCGTGCCCAAAAGGTTGAGGACCTCTGGGATAGAGTCTCCTGCTTGAGCAGGGGTTGGACTATAGGACCTTCAAGGTCCCTTCCAACTCTCTTCTCCTGTGTTCTGCCCCAACTTTCTGCAGTGTTTGTGAAGCTCTCCTTGCGGGTTTTCTTGTGCATTCTCCCTCTCCCCCCCCCCTCTGCAAAATAGACAAGGAGAGTCCTGAATCCAAGGACATCCAGTCCTTCACGCGGCTGGAAAGGGGTTTGAATCCAGCTTTGTCCGTTGGGTCTCCCGGCACTCCTTGATGTCCACCCTGTTCATCCTTTCTCTACTGAAAGGAGAAAGAACAAGCGAGAAGTCTCAGCTGGCGCCTGCCGAGCGCGATTGGGCTTCCTTTGAGACGGCCTGGCTTTGTGCGGAGAGCGGATTTGAAAGCCGAGCTGCGCAAATCTCTCTTCCTCCGTCAGCTAAAATGGGCACCTTTGTCGTAGCCGTTTTCTCCGGGCCTCTTTCCAGTTCCTTTTGCTTCCCCTGTCTTCTCACCCTCGCCTCCCTGAGGGACGTTGAGTCACTTCTTCCCTACAAAGAGCCCTTTTCTTCCTGGAGAGAAAATCCTTTTCATGGCTGGGTTTCAAGGGGGGGGGGACAGCCGGAACATGGAGGCCTCGCGAATTACCTCAGTTGTCGCGAATTACCTCAGTTGTCCTCCGAGGGCTGAAAGCTGAGAGAATTTGGGGAAGGGGCTTTTCTCTGGAGCAACACTGGCTGGCCCGGAGTCTCGTCTGAAACATCTGGGTCTAGGAGAATTTAATTTTGGGCCAGTTTGGTTTAATGATTAAGACACCGGGCGGAAAAATGGGAGACGGTGAGTCCTAGTCCTGCCTTAGGCATGAAAGCCGGCTGGGTGACTTTGGGACAATCACCAGGAGACGGTGAGTTCTAGTCCCACCTTAATCATGAAAGCTGCCTGGATGATTTAGGGCCAAATACCAGGAGACGGTGAATTCTAGTTCTACCTTAGGCATGAAAGCCAGCTGTGTGACTTTGGGCCTATCACCAGGAGACGGTGAGTTCTAGTCCTGCCTTAGGCGTGAAAGCCACCTGGGTGACTTTGGGCCAATCACCAGGAGATGGTGAGTTCTAGTCCTGCCTTTGGCATGAAAGCCGGCTGGGTGACTTTGGGACAATCACCAGGAGACGGTGAGTTCTAGTCCTGCCTCAGGCATGAAATCAGGCCAGGCGACTTTGGGCCAATCACCAGGAGACGGTGAGTTCTAGTCCCACATTAGGCATGAAAGCCAGCTGGTTCATCTTGGGTCAACCTCTTCTCCAAAGGACCAGAAGGCAGGGCAAAAAGCAACCTTAGATGGAAACTCCTCAAGGAGAGAAGCAACCTGGAACTAAAGAGAAGTTTTCTGACAGTGAGAACAGTTAAATCAGTTGCCTCCAGACGTTGTGGGTGCTCCATCACTGGAGGTTTTCAAGAAGAGACTGGACGGCCACCTGTCTGCGATGTTACAGGGTCTCCTGCTTGAGCAGGGGGTTGGACTAGAAGACCTCCGAGGTCCCTCTTCCCATTCCGTTCTTCTGCTTTCTCCCCACAGCGGACGTTGCACGCTCCATGGGAGCCAAGATCGTCATTGCCATCGACGTGGGCAGCCGAGACGAGACGGATCTCACCAATTACGGCGACGCTCTTTCCGGCTGGTGGCTGCTGTGGAAGCGGTGGAACCCGTTAGTGGAGAAAGTGAAGGTAGGGTGGGGAGGCTGTTAAACGAACCGTCGTCAGTCGAGGACTGGCTGCAGTGGCTTTCGAAGGGAGGTGGTGCAAATACCTCTCTCTTTCTCTCTCTCTCATTCTCATTCACATTCTCTCATTCTCTCATTCTCTTTCTCATTCTCTCTCTCTCATTCTCTCTCTCTCATTCTCTCATTCTCTCTTTCATTCTCATTCTCATTCTCTCTCTTTCATTCTCTCATTCTCTCATTCTCATTCTCTCTCATTCTCTCTCTCTCTCTCTCTCTCTCTCTCATTCTTTCATTCTTTCTCTCTCTCATTCTCTCTCAGGTGCTGAACATGGCCGAGATCCAGACTCGGCTGGCCTACGTCTGTTGCGTCCGGCAGTTGGAGATGGTCAAGAACAGCGACTATTGCGAATATATCCGTCCGCCTATCGATCGCTACGGGACGCTGGACTTTGGGAAATTCGATGAAATCTGTGTGCGTTGTGGGGCGGGGAGGGACAGCCGGAGGAACGGAGCCACGAAGGGAAGATCCGTGGCTGGGGAGGGAGGTGGAATTCAGAATTCAGCGGCCCCGGGTTCAAAGCTGCCGTGCTTTGACACAAGCCGAGCCTCAGAAGCGCCGATTGTGGCTGCCATATATTTTGTTTCCCCTCCTTCAGGAAGTCGGCTACCAGCACGGGAAGACGGTTTTTAACGTTTGGTGCCGGAGTGGAGTCCTGGAGAAGATGCTGAAGGACCGGCAGGAAGGCTGCCAGTCTAAACCCTCCTGTGTGAGTGTGTGCCCTGGTGTGTGTGTGTGTGTGTGTGTGTGTGGCGGGGGGGGGGGGAGAGCAGCCAGCTCACTCAAGAGCCGAGTGGGCAGTGCTGCAGAGCTGCCCCCTTTCCAGATGTTCCAGTTTGGGAGACAGATGGGGCAACAACTCCTTTTTTAATTCTAAGATGAAGTGGCAGACTGAGGCTTTCTCGGTCCGGAGAAAAAATGCAGCTGCTAAGTTTTGGACAAGGATGCTCTCCAACCAGGGCTCCCCCCGACCAAATGTGGGGCATTTTGGAAAGGAATTCTAAACAGAGAATTGCAAATTTTCTCTTTGCAAATCTTCCTCTTTCTCTCTCTCTCTTTCTCTCTTTCTTTGTCTCTTTCTCTCTCTCTTTTTTGTCTCTCTGTGTCTCCTCTCTTTCTCTGTCTCACTTTTTCTCTGTCTTTCTGTCTTTCTCTTTTACTCTGTCTGTCTGTCTGTCTGTCTGTCTGTCTGCCTGCCTGCCTGCCTGCCTGCCTGCCTGCCTGCCTGCCTGCCTGCCTGCCTGCCTGCCTGCCTGCCTGCCTGCCTGCCTGCCTGCCTGCCTGCCTGCCTGCCTATCTATCTATCTATCTATCTATCTATCTATCTATCTATCTATCTATCTATCTATCTATCTATCTATCTATCTATCTATCTATCT